CTGCTGCCCTGGAGGAAGTGTGTGTGGTGGTTGTTTTTTGCTTTTGCCTTTCGCTAGATGGATGCTTGAATGCCCGTAATAAAGATTCCTAACGAACCAGGCCTTCGGTGATCATTCTCCTGCCATCGCCCTAGGTGGCGGGACGCAATAACTAATTTCCAGTTAATTCAGGACACCCCCACCAGCGAGGGTTTCACACCATTGTAACATCCATTTATGGATGCCTTTGCCCTGCCTGTTCCAACCTAGGCTACTCAAAACTGCTCTACATTTTTACTCATGAAGTACTCCTTGTTTTGTCATTTTCTCAGGCTTTGGCAATGAGGTGTCGGCAGTCACTATGAAAGTAACAGAGTGAATTGTTTCACAGTACACAGTTTTAAAAGTCTGTTTTCTGTGCCATATTCATTAAGAGACTGAATTTGTTTGGAGAACATCCTTTGGCATAAAGAAAGACATCACCAATAATTATGAAAGCCTCTAACCTTCACTGTGACCAGGAAGACTGACAAAATGCTTATGTTTTAGTCTGAAATTTGTGAAGAAAAATCAGACAAATGTAATGAATCCTGGGAATTCACTAGTCCTGGGAAAGGCCTGAGAGAGTCCGATGGCAGTGGTCTAGTCACCTATGTCACATTTAACAGGCTCTAAGTGGACCCTTAAGTTCTGGATGCAGATCACCTATAAGTGCAGAATTGTCATAGTAGATACATAGAGACCTACATATGCCTTATACACAAGAAGCTATGGCATCTTTCTTTCCTATTCTGTTTTATTTTTAATATGATCTATTCACACCAGTCAAATGGAAGAGGTTGTTGGGGTGGTCAAGACCCAACTATCTTGTCAACAAGAAACCAGATATATGCATCAAAGACAATATCTGGGAATAAATTTAACCAAGGAGGTGAAGGGCCTATACTCTGAAGACTACAAGACAGTAGTGAAAGAAATGAAGACAAATGGAAGGCTATTTCATGCTCATGGACAAGAATGTAGTGAAAATCTCTATACCACCCAAAGGGATCAGATTCAATGCAGTCCCTAGCAAAATTCCAATAGCAGTTTTCACAGAAATAGAACAACCCTAAGATTTGTACTGAACCATGGAAGACTCTGAATAGCTGAAGAAACCTTAAGAGGAACTAACATGGAGGCATACTGCTGATTTCAAGCTATACTACAAAGCTGTAGTAATCAAAACAGTATGGTGTTGGCACAAAACAAATCAATGGAATTGAATAAAGAGCCAAGAAATAAACCCTCACATACTTAGACAACTGATTTATAACAATGGTGCTAAAAATAGGCAATGGGGAAAAGACAGTTTCTTTTATAGATGGTGTTGGGGAAACTGGACAGCTACATATATAAGAATAAAATTGAACTACTGTCTTATATATATACAAAATTAACTCAAAATTGATTAAAAACAAACCTAAAACCTGAAACCATAAAACTCTTAGAAAAATATATAGGCAGTAAGCTCCTTGACATCACTCTTTGTGATAATTTCTTGAATAATTAAATTTTGTGATGATTTTCTGACACCAAAACCAAAAGCAACAAAAGCAAAAAACAAGTGGGACCACATCAAACTAAAAATCCTCTATACAGCAAAGGACACCATCCACAAAATGAAAAGGCAACCTACTGAATGGAAGAAGATATTAACAAACTATCTGATAAAGGGTTAATAACCAAAATAAATGAAGAACTTATATAACTTAATACCAAAAAGCAAGCCAATTAAAAAAATGCAGAGGATCTGAACAGACATTTTTCCAAACACAAAATACAGATGGCCAACAGGCACATGAAAAGATGCTCAACACCACTAATCATTAGGGAAATGCAGATTAAAACCACAAAACCACACCAGTCAGAATGGGCACTATCTAAAAGACAAGAAATAAGTGTTGGTGAGGATGTGGAGAAAAGGGAATCCTCCTATATTGTTGGGCAGAATGTTAATTGGTGCAGCTTCTATGGAAGTTCTTAAAGAAACTAAAAATAGAACTGCCATATGATCCAGTAATTCCACCTCTGGGAATTTACCTGAAGAAAACAAAATTGCTGATTCAAAAAGATGCACCTCCATGTTTACTGCTAAATTATTTACAATAGCCCAGATATGGAAGCAACCCAAATGTCTGTCAATAGGTGAATAAAGATGTGGTACATTTACATAATCAAGTATTATCCAGCCATAAAAAAGAAATCCTGCCATTTGCAACAACATGGATGGACCTAGAGAGGTTATTATACTAAGTGAAATAAGCCAGGTGGAGAAAAGACAAATATCATATGATTTCACTTGTCTGTGGAATCTATGACAAAACAAACAACAGAAACAGATTTAGACACTGAGAAGTGACTAGTAGTTACCATGGGGGGAGGGGTTGGGTGAGTGGGTACAATAGGTTGAAGGGGATAAAAGGGATAAAGAGTCATAATATAAATTAGTCACTGTGATGAAAGTGCAACATAGAGAACATAGTCAATAGTTCTGTAACATCTTTCAATGTTGATAGATAGTAACTGCACCAATTGGGGTCAGCATTTAATAATGTCATATCACTATGTTGTATACTTGAAACCAATATTCTATATCAACTATACTTAAAAAAATCTTTGATATCTCATACCCAGAAGTATTCAGCCTTTTCTAGTCTGCCATCCAGATATATTTGCAGAAACAGAAGCCTGCCTGCTTCCTATCAAAGACATCTTATTCTTATATCTCAGTCATTTGGTTCTATTTTCATTAGCCTAATCTTAATATTGCTCCCTTCTAATAATAGTTCACCTTATGTTTAGGTGTCTGACTAATCAGGTACCTGAATTTTCTGCTGTATTGGTTTGATTTTTTGGTATTGTGGTGGTTTGTTTCGTGGAGTGAAGCTCCAATGGGCTACAGTGAAGTGTCATACCGCTGGAGAGAATAGGAACGGACTTCCGAGAGCGTCCGGGAGCATCATCGGCCAGATTCTACCCGTACATATGAGCCTGAGGTTTTCTGAGCCAAAAATATCAGTAAAAATTTGAATCCAGACCCATGACAGTTTACCAACTGTCAAGACATTTTACACGTGGAACCCGAGAAGTCGCTTTTCTGTGTGGTGAGAACAGGTCTGACCTCTGCCCTGAGGTCACTTTGTGCCCCCAACCTCTTCCGTGTTTTGTGCCCCCTCCCTCCCCATTCAGAGCCTCCGTCTGCTCAGCTGAGCTCTTGGGGCAGGGTGGCCGAACCTAGAGGTCAACAAGGGCAGCAAATTCCCAAGGCAGCTGAGCTTCAAGGGAAGAAAGGTCATGTTTTATTTTCACTCTGATAAATTTTTGTCCTTAGGGATTTGCCTGTTTATTCCAAGTTTAGCTTTGTATTTGGGAGACTTCCATTACATTTTACCTGACATGCCCAGGTTTTCCTGGTAGGAGCACTTTTGAATGTTTTCTCTGCTATGTTGTTTTGGCCTAACTGATTTTGTTTTCACACTGATGGCATGTGCTATTGGCTGGCAGCTCTTTGGAAGGCCAGACGCTAAGAGGTTAGCTGGACTCCGGTTCCTATGTGAGCATCCAACCTAAAACCCTCAGGCTTTCTGCCAGCTGCATGATTTCTCCCACTAGGCAAATTATGTCTGACATTCCTTCCCACACAGAACAAGACACGTGCAGATCAAGAGGGCGTCCAGTCTGCTCGAGAGAGCCCAGCAGATGGCCCAAACTTTCAGTCCCCTCAATCCCAAAGCATCCCCCACCACAACGCCCTGATGGCAAGACACAAAAGCAGGAAACTCAGCATGGCCGCCGGCTGACAGCTGCTTACCCAAAGTCAACGTCACTGTGATGGGGCTGCCCCAACATCAATCCCCTCCTGATGCACTATCACACCAAGATAGGAGCGTTTCTGCCAAAATTAGGAGCGAAAGGTGACCATGAAGCACCACTAGGCTAAAGCACACAGAGGGATCTCACAGAGACCAGTCCTCCAGGACACCCAGCATGAGCAGAAGGTGAGGCCTGCTGGGAGCGATGCCTGCCCAAGTCAGGGTTCTGAGCCAGGAGGGCCGCCTCTCTGACTATTACATGGAGACGAGACAAAACCAGATATGAACGGAAGGACATAGTATTAAGTAACTGTTACCCAAAAACTTTATCAACATACACGATGTTGCGATAGGTAATCTCATAGCTCAGACAAAAATCATGTCTGATAATCTCATAGTTCAGACAAACATCAGCCCTTGGAGGTTGTTGGTGGTGGGGTGCTTTTAAAAATACCAGTTTCCAGGCTCACTAAGGATTGATTTCATTTGCTTGTCCTTGCTCACTGGCTGTTTTAGAGAAAAGGAAACAGACAGAAAGAGAAACACAGCAGAGACAGAGAAGCAGGTGAGAGGAAACACAAAAATCTATAAATTTGGGTAAAATATATGCTCTGGTTCCTTTTATTACTCTTACCCTAAGTTTGAAACCACAGCAAAAGTCAAGAATAAGAAACAGGAGGGAAAAGGAAACAGAAAAGCCAGCATGTACAGCTCCATGCCTTTGTCTACCCCAAATGTCCCTTTTGCAAACTTGCACCCAGGCTCTCAGAGGATGGGACGCTGGGCATTCTGCTCTGAGGCTCATGTTAACCCACTCGTTAAATAAATGATCCAGCACTCCTGTGACATGCAAGTCTCTTTCTCAGTTCTGGGCATGGAACAGTGAACAAAACTGGCAGTGTTTCTACTTATATTGGCACTCACATTCCAGTGGAGGGTGACAGAAATCAATCAAATAGAGAAAAATTTATAGAGTTTCTGATAGTAGCAATTTCCAGGAAGAGAAACACCATGGTAGGAGAGAAAGTGTAATAAATGCAGTGCTTTGCACGATGGAGAAGGACAGTCTGCTGATAAAACGCTGATGATGTATGGGGCAAGGTCATGGGATCACGTGCCTGATTTTCAGCATTTTCTCTGTGTTGGAAGCCCTGGGGGTGACCAGATGTTCCCGCATCCAGGTGCCTCCATGGAGGTTTCTGATTTAGTCACCTGTGCTTGGTCATTGGCATCCATGTGTTTCTGAAGGCCCCCAGACTTATTCTGCTCTGCAGGTGGGTTAATCAGGAGGGTCTGGTGGACCTGGGTAAGGATCTCAGTTTTGTCCTAAGTGGGATGGAGATCTTCTGGAGGTTTTGAGAAAACCTAATCGAGAAAGCTTAGCTTTCATGTGACCCCCAGAACCAAGACATGCTGACCTCTGCTGAACCATTCTCACCCAGAGAAGCTGGAGAAACAAGCCCTGGGGGGCATCCTGGTGGGCTTTGTGATGCTAATACATCACAGGCAGAAGGTGAGTCACCAGTGTGACTTTTCAGAGATTGGTGGGATTTAGGGGAAGAGGGGTACAGGGACTGGACAGAAGTTACCTCTGTCAGTAGAGCACTGGGGCCTCCAGATGGCCTGGACACTAGTCAACCCTGCCATGCCCATCTGCAGGCAGCCCCTTCAACCTTACCTTCACTAGCCAGGCCAGGTGGAACCACCAGGCAGCTCCTAACAACTGCTGTGGAAGTCAATGTGTCACCTGAGGTGCCAGCTCCTGATGCCACAGTCAGGCCTGAGGTGGTCAGCCCAGGCTGCTGCACCAGACTCCAGACCTGGGGATCCAGGCAACAGGCACTCACCCTTCTGAGGCTGCAGCTCCCCTTGAAGGGGAGACTAAGGCACTGGTGAGGCCTGGGTAGCAGTGGGGCCTGGTGTGGGGAGAGTTGGAGTTCCTGTGGCCAGGATCTTCCTCTGAACTTAAAACTGCTTGATGATGTAACTGGCCTGCTGCTAGGCTACTGCTCCCACACCCATAGGCAATAAGCTATTACTGACTAAGTCACTATATAAAGAGCTCTGCCCAGTGGCAAAGGCAGAGATGAAGGAGGATTACAGACCTGCAGACTGCTGGATGCAGACGTAATTCTAGTGCTTGATCTATCACCTGGAGAACAAGCTGGGTAATAAACCCTTTCAGCCCAAGAACATTCCATCGTCATTCCTCCATCTCACTGAATCTGTAGTAAACTTGCCCAGGGCTGAAACCCATTGGCAAGACAATTGATATAGTATGCAGGATTCATTGTTGACCAAGGAAAAGAACAGGCTGCCCTTATGGGAGGGGTGCTTTAGTTCCCCATTCCCCTATGAATGGGGAGAGTCGACTGTGCCCCAGTCGGTATGTGATCTGAAGAAGCTTGCCTCCTAGAGGGCTAGGCCCACCCCAGGACTGGAGGCAGATGACAGCTGAGGCAGTAGGGGTGGCCCTTGGTATACTAAGTAGGCTCTTTGAGAAACAGAGTGCCCGTGAGGCAGCGGGAACTGTAGGTTGGATGCTCCTCACAGTATTTAAAAAGTCTATAGATAAGAAGAATATGCTCCTGAAAGAGACACAACAAATGGCAGCACAAGAACACAAACTGCCAACTGCTGGGGATTCACTGAAGAATGAAACGACATTGATACAAGAGGAGGCAGCACAAGAACAGCAGCTGTGAGGTGCTGTTGAGGAAGTAAAAAATGTGTTGGTGACTGAAATGGCATCACTACAAGGTACTGTAGAAGAGGTAAAGGCCATGAAGGAAAAGGGTGGATCCCTGAAGAAGCACAAGAAGAGGCAGTGTGAGAATGTGAGCTGTGAGGTCCAGTGGAGGAGGTAAAAGATTACTTACAGAATGAAACAGCAGTGCTGCCAGGTGCTCTGAAGGAAGTAAAGGCCATGGAGGAAAAGGACATACCCCTGAGAGAAGCACAGGAAGAGATAGCATGAGAATGCCAGCTGCGAGGTATTGAGGCGAAGGTAAAAGGGCTGTTGAAGACTGAACTAGCATTGCTGCAAGGCACTGTAGAAAGGGTAAAGTGTGTAGAAGAGGAGGCACTCAGGAGAGGGGAGAGAAAGCTGCCCCAGAAGTGAAGGAGCTGGGGAAGGATGAAGCATGCCCAGTGGTTGTAAAGAAAATAAAGACGCAGCACCTGAGGGTTCCTCCAGGAGAGGTGCAGCCGCCTCCCCAGGTCATGGAGCACTCTGTGCTCCGCCCCTATACTCAGGCTGAGCTGGTGGATTTGGGCTCCTCCGCAATTGGATTATGGCTGCACTTCATGCTGTGTGGCCCAATCAGGGTGATTTACCATCCTCCCCTGCTAGATGGCAGATGTATGCTGAGCTCCAACAGGTGTTATGGGAGCTGGGCATGAAAAATGCCATCTATAGTTCAGAGAATTATGGCCCAGATAAGGAGCCTTTTACTGCAGGGGTGAGAAACGTTGTGCTTCAAACAGCTCCCACATCTCTCTTTGGGCCTCTAGTGACCATTCTTGCATGGTTACCTGTACAGTAGCATACTTAGAAGAGGCTGAAGCAATGAAAGCACAGAAAGAAATAAGGTCTGCTACTCAGAGGAAGAATTTAAAGGACCCCATGAAAGTTACAAGGACCCAGATGTGGGTTGATTTAATATGGGAAGGAGCAGACAAAAGGAAATTAGATGGGAAGTCAAATAGAATCTTACTAGAACTATGGCAACAACTGAAACCAGAGCAGCAGTTCCAGCCATTAAGAACAAAGAGGGAGAGGTCAGAGAGAGAGCCACAAGTCTGGCCTGTGTGTCTGCAAGACTTCCTGCTGGAGAGTGAGCCAACATCACTTTAATTCACACAGGAAGATGACTGGGAAACACAGTTTGATTGAAGGGGAGGTTGAGGCACCTGCCCTGAGGAAACAGGGGTGGACCGGAAGCCACGTTGAAATATCTATCCATTGGTCCCCAGTGAACATACAACATGTCCTGGCCCTGGTTGGCTAGCTCAATGCACACATGTGGGCAATATGTTGTTACTGACTATATAAAGAGCTCCCTGCCATGCTCTGGGCAACATGGTGGCACAGAAAGAAATAAGGTCTTTCTGCACAGCTGTACGGCTGCAGGAGAGCAGAGACTGGAGTGGTGTCAGCACGAAGGACAGAGACTAAGACAGCTGTGGGCAGAAAGGCCCAGAAGCTGAGACCAGCTTGCTGCATGCAGATTTGCTCTGAGTGGACAGGATTCTAGTGGCTGACCTGCCACCATGGGAATAAAGTTGCGTATAAACCCTTTTAACCCAAGAATGTTCCATTGTCACTCCTTGGTCTCACTGAATCCATAATGAACTTGCCTGGGGCTGAAACCCATTGGTCAGACACCCAGGTCCCAGCAAAGCCCATGGCCTGGCTGTATCCTCTGTGCTGACAGAGGTGCTGCACACTGGCTTCCCTTTTGTAGGGCCCTACTCCATTCACAGGTGCTCCACTCTCAGGACCTATTCACCTACACAGACCCCAGCTGCCAGCCCCTCACCTGAGCCTCAGGGTTTTAACCTGTGGTTTGGGGACACAGTACCCCATCTCATTCCAAGACAAGCCTTGCCAAGGTTCAAAAACAGTCTTGATAAAATAAAATTATATCACTCAAGACCCTAAGTAAATTCCACTTTTTTTATGCCCATTTTCAAGAGAATAGAATAAACTGAAATTTTAAAAATCGCTCAGGAAAATTGCTAGTGTGTTCTGAGCAGAGGCAGGTCTGACTCAACATCTTCACCAGAGGCATACAGATCCTGGGACTCAACAACCCTCAGCAAGCTGACTCTGGAATTTCCCAGAACTCATGACGTTTTCCCTAACACAGGGAAGTATTGGCGCATTTAATGTCCCCTCATGAACATAGGGACATTTAATTATGGGAGAATATGAGTAAATAATGCTCATAAGATGTCAAATGAAAACCACAGGCTCACATGATTTGCTTAAATGTATTTACCTATTCCTAATTCTGTCCATTAATCCTAGATTAGTGATTTATTTATTCCTTCATATATTACCTTTCACTAGCATTTTCTAGAAGGTACCAGAGGGGTAAAATGTGGGTGAAAAATGTGAAAAGTATACAAAACTTTTTATTCATTACTCTATCTTTTAATAAACTGCCTTGAAGATAATGCCATACAATGCAGTGGTAAGCATTGTAATGTGTCCATTAATCCTAGTGTAGGGAAAATAGAAGTTCCTATGGCCAGGATCCTCGCCTGACCCTGATATACTTGCCCACTGTGGAAGTGCAATGTTCACAGGCACAGGGTTGCACATGTGTTGGCAGTGAGCTATTATTGACTCTATATGAAGAGCTCTGCCCAGTGCTCTGGGCTGCGATGTGGCAGAGAGGCCCAGAAGCAGCGATCAGCTTGCTGTAGGCAGACTGGCCCAGAGGTGGATGGGATTCTAGTGTGTGACCTGCCCCCACAAGAATTAAGCTTGATGTAAGACCTTTTATTCCAAAAACATTCCATTGTAATTTTCAGTATCACAGAATCCAGAGTGAACTTGCCAGAGGCTAAAACCTTCAGGTGAGGCAGCTGGACATCCACAATCTGCAGAAATACAGATTAAAAATAGCCATTTTGAGCAAGTACTGCTTTATGGTCTCATAAAACAGGCATTTGAGGGAACGCTGTGTTGTGTGACACATACTTAACATGGCAACTTTGCTGGGAGCAAGTATCCTGGTACAGTTGTGTGACAGGGTGACTGGGCAAATGATGAACCCCATTAGCCTCTGTTTCCATGTCCTTACCTCAAAGTAGAAGATGAGCACAGGTCCTGAATGGTGGATTTCCTGATGATTAAATGAGAGACATTTGAATTGCTTAGAAATCTGCATGCTTGCCTAAGGTAAGGAAGGTGTCTGGTACATTAACTTTACAAAAATCATTTCATAAAACATCACAAAATCCATGTGTGTTTCAGTTTTATGGATACAGAAGTAGTAACTCAGAGGAGTAAAGTGAGTCATGAAGGTCACCTGGGAGCGTGGCTGAAATTCAGACTAAAGCTGGCTATGGATAAAGTGAAAGTTTCTATGGTGAGGATCCTCACCTGAACTACTTGATGATGTAACTGGCCTGCTGATAGGCTACTGCTTCCACACACATAGGCAATTAGCTATTACTGACTGAGTCACTATATAAAGAGCTCTGCCCAGTACTCTTGGCAGAGGCAGAGATGAGGGAGGATTACAGACCTGTGGACTGTTGGATTCAGATGTAATTCCAGTGCTCGACCTCTTGCTGGAACAACAAGCCAGGTAATAAGCCCTTTCACTCCAAGAATGTTTCATTGTCATTTCTTCGGTCTCACTGAATCCATAGTGAACTTGCCTGGGGCTGAAACCCATTGGCAAGACACTGGCATTCTCTGGAATAAACCACCTGAGCTCTCACTTTTAGGTACAATGAGGTGACAGAATGCTTTTTAAAATGTGTCCTCTCATAATTCCATTTTTAAATATTTTCCTTGAAAAGACAAGGCAACAACACAGGAATTCCCTATTACCCCCCAAAAAACAGTTGTTATCTTGTGATTTTTCAGGCATGGGATAAAAACATCTGGATAATCAAAATGTCCAAAAGTCCTAAACTGATTACCCCACCTCTTTCCCCCAAATAATGTGCAACAGGCATAGGTTATGATGGAAATTTCACTTGGCAATATTCCACATAGTTCACTAATTTGAGTTTACTTAGACAAAATGATGGGATAGGGACCATGGATTTAGAGTAGGGTGAGGTCCTCCAGAATAAACAAAGCAAGATAATCCATTGTGAGATTTTCTTTGGCTTGCTGAGCGGCCTGGCGATTTTACCCACGTGTTGCTTTTCTTCTTCCAGCCCTAATCAAGTGATCTGCAACCTGGGCAATTTAACAAGCAAGCCCAAAACAATGTGGTAAAAACAGGAAGGATTCCATCTTGAAAATAAGATTGCATTTTAAAACCCAATTAGTTAAAAAGTAAGTTTCTTAACATACTCTTTAACAAACTGACAATAACTCAGCCCACCCTGGGAGCAAAGCAGGCAGTCTTGAGTGACAGGCTCCCAGACCAGGAAGCTGCTATTTTGGGAGGAAATCAGAGCAGCAAATTTCTTGTAAATAACCGGGAAGACTAATAAGAAACTTAATGTCTCTTCAAAGATAAACATTTTGGGACCACCTAGCAGGTGTGCATCCCTAGCCCTTTGTCTTTCAACTGCCTATAAAATCCCTAGACAACACACCACCCTGGGACTTTCTTGTCCCCTCCTGGCATGAGCTAGGAGCTCTGTTCTCTCACTTTAAATAAAAGCCTTCTGCCTTGCTCTCCTATCTTGAGTATTTGCAAAGTCCATTCTTCAACTCCACAAACAAGAATCCCTGCATTAATGATACATCATATCTGTGATCATTAAGGACACATTACACCATTGTTTCAGTTGCTAAGCTATATTATATAAAAATCTTAAAAAATATTTAAGAGGGGTATTCTACAGTGAATTTTTAATCTTGATTGCATCTCAGTGTTGATTTACTGCAAATGTAGTGTAAATTTCAGTTTTGTATTTACCAGTAAGCAGTTGGTCTGTGCATGTGAAGTTACATCCTTGAAATTCCTGAAAATTTGGATTTTTGGTTTTCTTTTCACCAGTTCAATTATTATGAACTCTGCTTTCATTAACATTTTTGTTTAAATTGCCAGATCTGGATGCTTTTCATGATTAATTTAGATGTGTAAGTGGAGCCTAAATGAGATAGTTGTGCCTTACTAGCTTAGCTGCTCTTGACAGCTGCAGTTGGAACAATGTATCAGTGGAAATTGCTTAAAACAATAGCCTGAAGCAATTATTAGAAACTGCTCAGAAACCACCACACCTGCTTTCCATCCATCCTTGTTAACCAGCTCCATTCAAAACCACAAGTGATTGGAAACCAACTAACCATTACCAGCTGGTGCATGCAGATGTCAAATCAAATGTCACTGAGGTGTGGACCTGAGTTCCATAGAACCTGCAAATGTATGTGGCAGAAGCCAGGATTTCCCTTGAATTTTACATTGGGACCAAAATGATTTTATTTTCCACATGTAACAGTCTACCGTGGTTTCTGACGTGACAGAAGGCAAATTTACAAAGCAAATGGAATGATTACAATAGCAGCTTTTTATATTTCACTGTGTCCCTGACCCAGGCTCTGGAGATGAACAAGTTTTAGTGTCTTGTCTTTGATTCGTGTTTAGGCACAGGCCCACTTGGTATGGAAGAGGAGCAAGGAATGGCCCCATTGTCTTCCCAGCTGTGAGGATTCATTCATTGTTGGAGGAAACAATGACATGTGGCAGCGGTCAGATTGCATTAAAAACACTCAGTAACATATCCGTTTTTCACGTTTCAATAAGTGTCAGTTAAGAAAGGCCTTCAGAAGGGGAAAAGGAGGCCTGGTATTGACTGGCTTCTTTGAAGTTCCCAAATAGGCTTACTGACTGGGACACAGTACTTGTACATTCCATGAAATCAGGTGAATTGTTCAACCAGTCTTGGGCTAAATGGTATCACTGGTTCTGTTATTAAAGGATCAGTACTAGATATAAAGCCAGGGAAGGAGAAAGCAGGGGGTCTAATAAGACCAAAATGTTTAATTATAAACTCACAATTCTTTATAAGTTTAATTATATGAAAGAGAAGTCTTTCAAAAATGATTGTTAGATTCTACAGCTCTTTTAGGTGGAGAAAGTACCTTAGTTCATATTTTATCTTTGCCAGAAATGAAGGCTTGATGACAGAAACAGTGTGTGCTTGTGATGGGCATATGGCACCGTAACTGCATCACTTTTATTCAATGAAAAACAAGAAACACACTGCTGCCCCCAAAGTCTTTAAATCCACCAAGTGTTACACTAGATTATAGTGACTGATCGATAACCTACAATAATTGTTTTTCTTATGTCCATATTTACAGGAAAACAAGAGGAAACAGAATTTAGGAAACAAAAAGTGAAGAAAATTCATGGGAAAAAATCAGGAAAGTTAAACATGGTTGGACTAAGAGAAACTGAGTATGTTGCTGCACTGACTTCTCTGTTTGCCTTCTCTTCTGGGAAGCCTTCCCTGGTTACCTCATTTGAAAGCACCAACTTCTGATTCATCACTGTAACTGCTTCCATTGCTTGCTTAATTCCCTCCTGTCCTCTTAGCATTGTGTTGCTGGGGAGTCTCCCTGGAGAAGAAGATAAACGACAGTATGGTGGGAAGTGTATCCTGTTCATGGCTCTCTCCAGAGTCTATGGAAGAGCCTGGAACAGAGCAATTCAAGGAGAGGAGGAGAGAATAGCAGGTACACGCCCCAAACCTCGTCTGCAGATTCATCTCTACCAACGAACTGGCCTTGTTTTCCATAGCTTAAGAAACAAAAAAAAGCATAAAAACCCACTGTTTCACTAAAAACACACCTTTTATTTAAAAATGCTGCAAGTTGTGAACTATTTTAGTAATTGCCAGTGATCAAGGCTTAGATAGAAAGTATGGCTTCAAGGTGTCCCAGTACTTTCAGGAGAAAAGCCATTTCCTCATTCTGGTGATGTCTCTGCAATATGCATTTGCATGCCCTCAGTTATTCAAAACAAGGGGAGGCCAGCTCTGGAAATTCCCTGAGTAACTCCAGTTCAGTCATATGAGCAAAAGTTTAATTTAGCTCATTTTGCAAGGCTAACTTAACCTGGGTCATTTCTTGTTTATGCCTCTGGAAATCACAAGCTGCACTTGAACTGTTCCCCAAAGTGGATATGAGGAAATCACTGACCAGTTTCCTATCATTTCTGAAAATTCTAGCAGTATAACCAATCCTTCTGAAGAGTAAACAGTCACTGCCTTCTCACAATGGAAGCTGCTTTATAACACTAAACCCGAGCTTCATGCCATATCTGGTTTGAGTGCTCTGGTTTTCAAATGGTCTTCTTGGTGTGTGAATAATAAACTTTACTAATTACTACTTCCATGATTCAGTGGTTTTACTTCTGTTATTTCTGAACTTTTGATACCCTTCAGCATTATCAGCCACTGCTTTTTACTTAAATCTGGACATGCAATTATTTACACCATTTCAAACAAAAGATCATGCACACTGTCAATTCCATTATTTTTTAAAAGTATGAGTAATTGCTAATTAGGGTACCCTAACAAAAATTATATGCAATTTTACAAAAACACTCACAAATTTGCTGCATTTTACTATAGTTAGAATTTTGTCTATTTCTACATTTTACTATAACATTTGACTTAAATAACAATCTGAAACTCTCTTAAAATTCAGATCATTAAGACATCAATATCGAATACTGAAAAGTAGTGCAAATATTGACTTGAATGTTAAATTTAAATGCCTGAAAGAATGTATTCAATTACCTTTTCAATAATAGTAAAAACGATGATGACAGCAATATAAGCTGTCACTTAACATGTGCCAGGACCTCTCTGAACACTACATTCTTTATAAGGTTACCATATGCCTGTGTGTATGTGGGTATGTCCACATGCATGCCCGTGTTCTTTGTATATGTCCTGTACTCATGTGTGCCCATATGTCTGTGTATGCATGTGTGTGTGCACATTAATGCATGTTTGCAAGTGATTTGTGATTATTTGCTAATATCAGCTAAATCTGAGTCATTGATTTTCAAGTATTGGCTCAATAAAAGCTTCCAAGACCCAGCATTATAGAATGTTTTTTTTTTACTTTCCTCTACATTTATGGTGTGCATTAATGTTCTTGGAATTTAGCTTTGAAAATTGTGCTTGCCAAGGCTCTCCTGATCTTGCCTAGTGCACACTCACAGCCTCTCCTGAAGAAGCCATCAGTTCCCACTGATTTTTAGAACCACCTGGTCCAGCACTCATTTCTGTTTTGTGATTATTTTGCATGTTGATAAAATGTACCATTTGTTCCCACTCTATCGTTATTCTCTTCCTGAAATAGGGCAGAAACCTACAAATAAGAATAAAATTGGGGAAAGTGAAAAGAAAAGAAGAGATGAAGGAGGCATAGGAAATTCAGAAGAGGAGGAGGACCTGTATTTATGAGAATTTACTCTCAGCCAGGGATTTTGTTGAGGGAAACAGACTTCCTTATTCCACTATAATTGAGACCAGAAATTGAAATAAACTCTTTTCTCCTCTCATAGAAAATTAATAGTATTCTATTCTATTCTGTAATAGAATAAATCTTAGATTTATAGTTGGAATTCCTGAATTCAAGTGTAGACTTCTCCCAATGCAGAGTGAGAACCACATAAGATATCTCATATAAATGTGTATGTGCAGGAACAGGAAATGTCCATAATGAATTAGGATTCACACGTGTTTTTGTTTTAAAGATGATCAACTATTTTGATTGTATTCCCACTTAAAAAGTAACTAAGGGCTATTATATTTCTTAATTTGGTGAAAAACTCATGAGTTTGACAGAACAAGTGTAAATTCTGTGCATGAGCCCCAGGGAGTCTTGGCAGGGTGCTAGGCTGGGCTCCACTTGGGGAGATAAGATTCATGCTGAATAAGATTAAACGGAACTCGGCACAAAGAGAGGTGATTCCTGGTTAGACTCACTTTCCTGAAGCATTTGAGCAGGTAGTGAAAAGCTTCGGGATTTGTGAGGGGATTAGCCAGGAAGAGCTATCATCACTGGGTAATGAACAATAAATGTTAAAAATAGAAACCTTAATTCAAAATGTGAGTTCAAATTTACATGTAAATACATTCTATAATATAAAATAACCCTATCATATATCTAACATATATTACTCTGTCTAAATTATTTATATTTTGCTTACAAACAGTCCATATTCATAAATATCATGTTTGGATTGATTTATTTTGTCTTTATACACAGTCTGTTTTCCAAGCTCTGGCTTTTAATTAATCTGGATTTGAAGTATAAATTCTTTGTGCCTTGATTAATACCAAACAGGCTTTATTTAATTAAAGAGACAGGCTGGTGAAAGACATTTTAATCAAAAATTTCATATGCATACAGTACATCACATTTAATACTTGCAAAGAAAAAAAACTGATTTATTTTATTTATTTTTTGAATGTTTTGAATAAAGCAATCGTTCTGTTTGCTGTGATGAATGCCTTCGTGTGCCTCCTTCATCTCGAAGTCATCACCAGGGAGGAGAGAACACGGAGGTCAGGAGAAAACCCCCAACATCAGGACATGCTGCACATGGAGCTCTGGCATATCTCAAAGGAACACAGAGAACACAGAGATTTCCCTTGTTTTCTTCGTTCAAGACTGGCACCTCTGTTTAGGCCCCTTTTGGGCACTGCTCTTCAAAAATGGTAGGTGAGGATGCAGAACTTAATCCTAAAATTTAAGAGACTCATTTTATTTTTTAACTTGTGATTTATACTGTTGAAAATGGGCATCCTTTTAAAACCAGTATTTCATTCATAGACATTTGGATGTGAAGGTATTCCTACAATTGCATTAAACTCAAAGAGTATAGTATATCTTTCTTGGGGATTTATCATGCTTTCTACACTCATTCCCCACCTGCTGGACATTGAGACTGTTTGTGATTTTCTGTAAACATTGATGTGGGTTAACTTTTTATACATTTAATGTACATAAATCTTTATGTATGTATATGGTCATTCCTTTAGAGTAGAGTCCTAGCTGAGGAAGTCCAAGTGAGAGAGTGTTAGTAGCTTCTTACTCCTTTTGAAAGCATCCTCCTAAAAAGCTCCAGTCTGTTCCCTCCACGGAAGGGACCATTTCCCATATCTCCTTTATCAAAATAAATAATATTGTATTAAAATTATTTTTTATTTTTATTAAGTTAAAAGAGAAAGCATTTGTAATTGGTAGTTTAGAAACTATGTAACTCTTCATAAATTAAAAAAAATACATAGATGTCCTTTATTTCAACTTTTGTACCAAACAATGAGATTAAGATTTTGTCCCAATATTCCACATTTTCACATTGAAAACCCACATAAAATGGCATTTGGTTTTATATCTATGTTATTATAGATCAAACATCTATATTCTTTAATAAAAAAAGTAAAATGCTTTCTCTGTTTTCTCTATTGCCATACAATAATACATTGGTTAATAAATTGAGATATTCATTCTGTGGGTGTTCATGTTATTTTTCAGTTGGTGTAATTTGGCTTTAAATTTGTTGTCTAAAGAAATCAGAACTGTCTGATTATGTCTTAAGAAACAAGAAGTGAAATATGTCATGGGAAAATACACATCTATCTATCGTCTAGATTATCTATCTTTCTGTCTATCTGTCTATCTAATTATCCATTCATCATCTGTCTGAGCTATGTATCACACAACAATGCTTCTGGCTGAATATAAAAGAAAATCTGACAAACATTGGTTAAAAAATGAATTTGATGTTTTCATATAACAACTTTGGGATTAATGACTTCTGTCATGGGTTCAACACATCTGAATCACTGATTGTTTTTTCTGATGTTTTCCAAGTAGCTTCTGAAGCTCCAAGCATTGTATCCATGCCTTAAGCAAGAGGAAAGGGGTGGAGAGACATTGACCCCTGACATCTGTGCCATAGTGTCTAGTTGCAAGCTTCCCCAGGAACAGCCACCAGACGTCACTCACCTCATGGCTCTGTGTTGGGCCACATGGGTAGTTGTCCAGCTGCAAGTGAGGCTGGTGAGTCAGCATTCGCCTTTCCAGCCTTCACCATCCCATTACAAAGGGGAAAGGGTGATGGAGGAGAATGCATTTCTCTGAATGGCAGTCTGTGCCTGATATGCAATGACAACGCAGCAGGGGCAGGGCCCTGTGGAGCTTGCACTTAGAAAAGGGGAGACGGCAGAGCTGGCTGTATTCCGTCCATGCCAGTCAGTGCTGAGACCCTTGGAGAAGGTATTTTCCCACCCTGGAAGTGTCTCCTCACTGCAGTCTCTTTATAAGGACACTGACCCCATCATGGAGGCCCCACCCTAAAGACCACATCACCCCCCCGAGGCCCACCTGCAGACACTATCACCTTTGGTGTTTGGTTTCAGTGTTAAGAATCTGTGCACAAATATTCAGTCCATAGCAATAGTGAAGTCACATTTTTCTGAATCTGGCAGTTTTCTCATAGCTCTCCACTTTACTGCTCAGATACTCTTCATGGTGGACACCTAACAAAGTGGATGTGTGTGGCTACATGTATTCACATACTTATATGCACATGCATTCATGAATGTGTTTCTGCTAATCTCCTAATTAAAGAAAGTGAGTTGGATGCATAGACCTCTGTGTATTTGGAAACAGATGTTTTTTATTTGTTTTTAGCACTGTGTAGGTTGATTCCATCTGACCTGGCATGTTATACCATTCCCTGAATCATTTCTGTAAGAGGGGGACAAGCATCACTAACAAGGAATTTAGCTGTGGCCACATAAACAGATGCAGGTTTGCAGAGCCTGCAGCCAGAGTCAAACACAAATGATGAGCCCCTGGCTGAGGACCATGGATCTGTGGGCTCCCCGAAAGCCTCTGGAGAGGGCCTGTAAAGTTTTTGCTGTGGAAGCACCACTGGTCTACACAAAAACTTGGAAGGAGTGGAAAAGAGAGTGAATGTACAGCTAGAGGCAAGAGCTGTGTTAGAAATCTCCCGGAGGACCTCCAGGGATGCATGCCTTCCCAAGCAAAGAGGCTTAAGCTGCTTCTTATCCAGAAAGGCCATGTCTGCTGTTAGCTCAAGCGGTGACCAGGGATGAGCAGCCCGGAAATTGTTGTCCAAACAGCTCAAAGGCACAGCCAGTCACACGTGGCTTCCTATACAAAACCCAATGAAGCAGCAGGAGCTCCCTTCAGTCGGGCACTGTCAAACCCCCACACATTTCCATGCAAGAAGCCCTCTGGTCTTTAGTTTACTCAACTTGAGATGTCCACAGGCAAGCAACTTTTAAGATTTTCTCATCCATACTAATCAATCATCCACAAATACACTCA